TGTCATCTGCCACCACTGAGAACAATCTAGCTCCATCTTCCTTGGAACCAGCCTTCAGTTGGTTATTAAATCCCCTCTCAGTCTTCTCTTCTCTAGACTAAATAAGCCCAGTTCCCTCAGCCTCTACTCCTATGTCATGTGCCCCAGCCCCCTCACTATTTTCATTGTCCTCCACTGGATTCTCTCCAATTTATCCACATCTTTTCTGTAGTGGCCCAAAACTGGACACAGTACTCCAGATGTGGCCTCACTGGTGCTGAATAGAGGGGAATAATCACTTCCCTTGATCTGCTGGGAACACATTTAACAGTGCAGCCCAGTATGGCGTTAGCCTTCCTGGCAACAAGGGCACACTGTTGGCTCACATTCAGCCTATTGTCCACTGTAACCCTCGGGTCCTTTTCGGCAGAGCTGCGCCCCAGCCAGTCATCCCCCAGCCTGTACTGGTGCATGGGATTGTTCCATCCTAAGTGCAGGACTTTGTACCTGTCCTTATAGAACATCATGAAATTTCTTTTGATCCAATCCTCCAATTTGTCTGTCTCTCTCTGAATCCTAACCCTACCCTGCAGCATATCTGCTACTCTTGCCAGCTTGGTGTTATCTACAAACTTGCTGAGGGTTCACTGCATGCCATCTTCCAGGCTATTGATGAAGATATTGAACAAAACCAGCCCCAGGATCAACTCCTGTTGTACTCCCACTTGATACTGGCTGCCAATTAGACAGCAAGCCATTGATTGACCTGACCTTCTGAGCCCCATGATCCAGCCAGTTTTCTGTCCACCTTAGAGTCCATTCATCCAACCTGTACTTCCTTAGCTTGCTTGCCAGAATGTTGTGGGAAACCTGTATCAAAAGCTTTGCTAAAGTCAAGGTATATCATGTCTGCTATCAGGGCCGGTCCAAGGGTAATTGGCACCCTAGGTGAACTGTGTACCTTGGCACCCACACTACTTCCAATATAGAGGAAAATAAGAAGTCTAGAATGAACTTTTACATGTACTTATTTGATATTCAAAATGAACAATCAAATAATAAAATTTTGTTTTATTGATTGTTTCACACCTTTTATTAACCCTAACATAAGTCCGCTTGAGAGTTGAAAAGGTAGGAGTCGTGATTCTAGTGATCTTCTCTTTTCAGAGATCTTTCTCCCCTTACCAAACCAGAGGTCTTAGACCAAGATGGAGCCATAGCCAGCCAGGGCTGATGTTCCTGTCATTTTGTTCTGCATATCATTTTGGTGCCCTAGGCAACCGCCTAGTTCACCTAATGGTTGGACCGGCCCTATCTGCTGTTCTCCCTGCATCCTCAGAGCCAGTCATTTCATCATAGAAGGCAGTCAGGTTGGTCAGGCATGAGTTACCACTGGTGAATCCATGCTGACAGTTCCTAATCACCTTCTTCTCCAAGTGCTTGGAAATGGATTCCTTGGGGACCTGCTCCAGGATATTTCCAGGGACTAAGGTGAGGCTGACCGGTTTGTAGGTTTCTGGATCCTCCTTCTTCCCTTTCTTAAAGATGGGCTCTATATTTGCCCTTTTTCAATTGTCCGGGACCTCTCCCAATCGCCATATGTCTTCAAAGATGATAGCCAGCAGCTCTGCAATCATATTGCCCAACTCCATTAGCACCCTTGGGTATATCCCATCCAGCACCATAGACCTATACATGTCCAGCTTTTCCAAATAGTCCCTAATCTGTTCCTTTGCCACAGTTGGCTGTTCACTGCCTTCCCAAACTGTATTGCCAGCTGCAGTAGTGTGGGAGCTGTCCTTACCTGTGAAGATAGGTGAAAAAGGCATTGATTACTTCAGCCTTTTCTGCATCATCTCTAACTGGGTTGCCTGCCCCATTTAGTGAGGGACCCACGCTTTCCCTGATCTTCCTCTTGTTGCTGACATACTTGTAGAAGCCCTTCTTGATACCCTTCATGTCCTTTGCTAGCTGCAACTCCAGTTGCACTTTGGCCTTCCTGACTTCATCCCTGCATACCCAAGCGATACTCTTACACTCCTTCTTAATTGTTTATCCAAGTCTCTACTTCTTATAAGCTTCCTTTTTGTGTTTTAGCTCACTGAAGAGTTCCCTGTTAAGCCAAGCTGGTCTTCTGCCATACTTGCTAGTCTTCCAGCACAACAGAATAATTTGTTCCTGCACTCTCAGTAAGGCTTCTTTGAAGTACAGCCAGCTGTCCTGGACTCCTCTCCCCCTTAGCCTTGTTTCCCAGGGGATCCTGCCAATCAGTTCCCTGAGTGAGTCAACATTTTCCTTTCTGAAGTCCAGGGTCCTTACTCTGCTGCTCTCCTTCCTTCCTTTCTTCACGATCCTGAACTCGATCATTTCATGGTCACTGCTGCCCAGGCTACCACCTGCTACTACATTCTGCACCAATTCTTCCTTGTTTGTGAGCAGCAGGTCAAGAAGAGCACAGCTGCTAGTTGGCCTCTACAACACTTGCACTAGGAAGTTGTCTCCAACACTCTCCAGAAATGTCCTGGTTTGCCTGTGCACTGCTGTATTGCCCTTCCAGGAGATGTCAGGGTGATTGAAGTCCCCTCCATAAGAACCAGGGCCTGTGCTCAGGAAATTTCTGGTAGCTGTTTGAAGAAAGCCTCATCCACCACATCCTCCTGATCTGGTGGTCTATGGCAGACCCCCACCATGAAGTCACCCTTGTTGCTCTCTCCTCTGACCCTAACCAGAGACTCTCAACTGGCCTGTCTCCAGTTTCATACTGGACCTCTGAGCAATCATACAGCTCTTTTATATAAAGAGCAAGTCCTCTTCCTCCTTCCCCCTGCCTGTCCTTCTCGAACAGTTTATACCCATTCATGACAGTGCTCCAGTCATGCAAACTATTTCACCAAGTTTGTTATTTCAATTGCATCATAAAGAGATCCTTTAATATGAGGTGCCATGTAAGTGCACAGGATACAAAATAGATACACTTACTGCTGTTGTTAATATATAATGTGAAGTTGTGAAGAGCTACATTACTAATATTCAGGGGAAATCATTAGCCAGTTAGAATATGATATTAAATGCAAAGTTAGCTTTATGTTCCCTCCCTACTGATTGTTAAATTCATGTGGTTCTACATCTGGAAGGAGGAGACAGGAGAAAGGTGATAGGGGAAACAAGAAAAAGCTAAAATGCAAAACATATGATTCAGTTTGCCACAAATCTGTCTATAAATAGGCTAATCATCCTTTTTTGGAGAAGACGATGGGAACATTTTACTGAGCAGGTCAGTTCCCCACATTTCCCAGCAACTTTCTCTCCTTTTTTGCCTTTGACCAAACTCTTTTACCAGGTTCGGGCTAGGTTGTGTATAAACACAGTTCCCATTTCCACCACTGTACACACACATCTACAAACATAAGACAGGCAAACCAGGTAGGGTCCAAATACTGGATCCCAATGGATCTCTGGGGTTTGGCTTTCTTTTTAACTTTAAAATAGCAGGGCATAAACATCGGCTTAACATCTTCCTGAGTGGAGTTATCTGCGTAGCGTTCCTGTGCAGAACCTCTTTTTGTCCTTAGAAGAATAGGAAGAATAGGGCTGGGTTGCTTTGCAGACCAGGGTGTCACAAGAAATTTCTTCTTGCAGTTGCCACCAGTGATGGAATTCATACACATGATAACCCAGGAAAGGGAGATGAGAAGCAGTATACGCCTCCACAACATGTAAAGCTGGAAAAGATATATATCTGTTGTCCATATCTGTATGCAAACATTCACATATATTAATTTGTAAGAGAAGCTTTTTGTTTTATCTTGCTTTGCTATTAATAGTAATTGCAACTTAATTATGTGACTATAATTTACAATTCAGTACAACACAGATTCTTGGAATTCTGCTTTGACTTTACTGATGCCTATTTTCAGTTGCCCTGACCTGTCATCAGGAGACAAATTGAGGCTACTTCTTAAGTTATGAAGGCTCAGCCATCCTGGCTGTTGGTGCAACTCCAACAATGCTGTAATGTGGCCAGAACCCTTGAAAAACCCTTGTAAAAACCTGCCTGCACTTTTAATTCTTGACCAAAGTCAAGGAGTAACACAGGCTACCATGGTTCCTTGACCTTGTTCACAGTCTCCCCTGGAAAATGTTCATTTTGTACCAGGCAGCAGCAGCAGTAAAACAATTCTTGTTGGTTGTCTTATTCCTCTACATACAGTGCTCCTGGGATGATCTAGAAATATATCTTCCACCTCTGCCAGCTCTTCCCCCCTCTGCCCCCTCCCCCTCTACTTTGTCTGAAAACCTCTCTCTCTCTCATCACAAAATGATTTATTGGGAGAAATGTGCTTCCTCAGGCTCATTTTTCCCTTTTTACAACAATTCCTTGGTTTGACTGCATGGTCTAGCTTAACCATTTAATTAAAAATGTTTAATAAGGCCATTTGTATTCATAGTGAGATGATTCATGTCATAACACTGACATACACATGACTTCATGGTAATAAGGTCAAAATTGCCAGTGCATATGTGCACTGAAGTCTTTGTATCCAGCTTGCCAGTGCCTTTAGGATACTGTTGCCGACAATTTCAAGTGGAGCTGTGTAACATTGCTGTCTCATGCTTTGAACTCTCATTTATTTTTTAAGCTGCTTTTCTCTTCATCTGGTGGACTGATGTTATTAAATTTCTCTCCATCTTTCACGGAAGAATATCAAACATGTTAGAGAAGAAACCATTTCATTTACACAGCTGAAAACATGTTTAGCAGAGGGGAGATGTATACCCTTTTCAAATGTACCTGCATTGCATTCAGAAGTGACTCAGGGCCTAGGCCTCCAATCCTAGTTTGCAGCAGGAAATTTTCTGTGGCAGTTTAGAAAATGTTACCCTTCCCCTTGACTGACCTGCACCATTGGAAATTTTCTTTCTGCTTTAAATCCAAGACTGCAGACCTAAAGCCAATTAAATATGTCTCCAGTTTATCCCCATATATTATTGTTCCACATTTTGTTTTTATCTTTTTGAAGGCTGGGATGCTGTGATGGACTGGAAAGATGTCTTATCAGGAGGAGAAAAGCAGAGGATGGGCATGGCTCGAATGTTTTATCATAAGTAAGGATCTGTATTTGCTCTTTGGGCAGCTATTCTAATGGAGAAAGAGCTTTGGAGGCTTGCCGCAATAGTCTCGAGTAATAATATTACTTTATGTAATATCAGAAGGTAATTGTGTATGAAAATATACTGTGCTGCTTAATTATTTGAGCTCAGCTTAATAGTTTGGGTGATACTTCTTACTGCTACTGCGTTTTACATAACCTATCCTTGCATTTTCCAGGTATTACTTTCATTACCACCTTGGACCCAAGTAATCATATCAGGGATGTCCAAGTGATATCCATGGGCATTTGTTGTGCTGTTGCACAGAATATGTAGTACTGAGAGCCAGTCTTCAGACTTGTCCTGTTTGGCTACCAGGGAACACTGCAAAGGTGCTCAACCCCAGGAAAGGTCAGAAGCACCTTGCATTGCTCTTGTATCCTGACCGTGCTGAGTCCTCAGTCATGGCTGTACCCAGAAGCTTCATCACAATGCATCTAGCAAGATCAGGAAGTAGAAGCCTTGAATTTTTTTAATTAACACTAATATTGCACTAGTGCTTAGAAGTCAGCTATGGGACCTATAGGGATAGGTGCTCTACTTCTGTATGGTAAATGATCATGCTTGCATTGGATTCCACACCTAGATTGCTTGCTGGGTATTCAGTAAAATCTGTCTACAGTATTCCTAAAATGGTAGCGTGGTAGTTTTACTTACTGAGTCCCAAATGGGCATATAATTTAATGTCCACCAACTTTGAGAAGCTTCCCACTGTATTCCTCAGTCAGCCAGGCTGGATGCTGTTAAGCAATGCAAAGCAACCCCCCTCTTTATATGTTCAGTTCTTCCACTGTAGCTTGAGGATGAAAAGATTGACCTAGGAATGTTCATAGGTCTTCATATGGTCTTTCAGTGCAGTATTACCTGCTCCATCATGCTGGCTGCTAGGGTTGGTATTTTTAATATATTTGAGTACTTTCGAGCTTCTGTGGATTTTCGTAGCAATAATCTGCTGTTTGAATACTGAGTTTTTCCTATGCCCCTATTTAGCATATGGTTGTGATTGAAAAGAGAAGGAATTTTGTCATAGAAAAAACTTGAGGACTGATGCTAATGTGCTGCTCCTACTGACTTCCTGTTTGTTAGTTCACAGTGGTCTTTGACAAGCAGTTTTCTTGCCCAACAACAAGCATCATCTCTTTTGTTCTTAAAATCAGCGTCATACATATGTATCCACTGTATAACCATGTTATCCAAAAAGTAAATGAGTAACATGTTTTATTTGCTTTGGAAAGACCAAAATATGCATTGCTGGATGAATGTACAAGTGCCGTGAGCATCGATGTTGAAGGAAAGATATTCCAAGCTGCAAAGAGCGCTGGGATATCCTTGCTTTCTATCACACACAGGCCTTCTCTTTGGTAAGTGTATTGATGTGTTTATAATGCTTCTCATTTTTAGTTTTCTATCAAATGATGAACCCACTTTTAGTCCTTGCACTAGGATGCTTGTTAAATCAATATCGTACTAAAATAAGCTGACCTCAATAATAGACATGTAAATGCATTTACTATTGATTTTTTTTTTCCCCTTTTTGTGCTCCTATTTATTTCCTCTTTCTTCTTATAAATGCATTTCAGTTATTCAATGTTAATAGCAGCATGCAGGTAGCTAAGCAGCAATTAATAAATACTTCATGTCACAGCTGCAAAAACTATCATCATAGTATTCTGTAAACACAACAGGAAATGAAAATAGAACAGCTCTTTTTTTAGGAGCTTGTCAACTGTTTGGGAGAAGATAGTGGCAAGTATGTCAACAGGAAATCTGTTCCTTGTTCTTTCATGGGAATAACAAATGTCTTGATTTTTTTTTTTTTAATTTAATTTAATTTAATTTTTAATGATAATTCTGCATACCATATTTTACCTACAGTCTTAGCTTTCAGTATAATGCCAGCCCCCAAAGTCAGATTCTTTATTTATAAATCAGTAATGTAAGAATGATGTTGTAGTCATGATAATCCAGAAATTGAGAGAGTCAAGGATTTCTTAGGGTTATATCTTTTTTGGACCAACCATGTAATCAGGATAAAGTTAAACAGCTTTTGAATGGAAGTTATTCTTCCTCAGGTCTCTGATTATATAGGAAGACACAGGCAAATGAAGTACAGCATAGGGGAGGGGCTGAGAAATTCTTAGGTGTAGCAGACCATCATCATTGGCAATCCCTCACAGAGAAAATGATTGTTTTCCATTATTGCCTTATCTGTGGGTCCAGAGATGACTGATGAGGCCAATTTGCAACCAACAGGTTTTGTTACAGCTTGGTTTATACAAGAAATTAAGTTAAAAGAAAGTGATCTTTCTAAATGAGGCAATACCATGAATGACCCAGCATAAGAAATATTTTTATAGCGCACAAGAAGCCATCAAATGCATCAGTGCAAAGAAGAGTGAAAAGGCACAAACCTGCTGCCGCTGAAATAGGCACCATTGGCTCTGTGGCCCTGACTCTTCACTGTTGCTTTTATTCTTTTTTTATCTCATGACTGGGGATCCTGGTTTCCCCTGATAAAAAGCCGCTTTATACGCGCGCGTGTGTGTGTGTGTGTGTGTAGTGGCTTATTATCAGGGAACATATATATTAGTTGAATGCCTCGGTGTATATATAGATATAGGGTATATAGGTATATATACTAGCCAGTTGCCTGTCAAGAATGATGGGGGGGGAGCGGGCGAGGACAGAGCCCCGTGTCTCTGTCCCGCCGTCCATCCAGGCCCACTTCTCCCTTCCCTCCTGCTGCTTGGGTTCCAGACCGACTTGCCCTCCACCCCCGCCCTCACCGTGGCAGTGGGGGGAGGGGAGGAGTGGGCCCAGACCCAATGCAGGGGAAGACGAGGCTCGAGGGTAGGTAGAAGCCGGCCCACAGCGGTTGGGTGGGGGGAAGGAAGCAGTGGGGAGCAGTGGGCCCAGGCCAACCCAGCAGCGGCGGGGTGATGAGAGGAGCAGGCTCAGGGGTGAGGGGGCCTGCTCCTCCCCTCCCCCTGTCACTGCCGCATCCAGCTGGGTTGGGCCCACTGCTCCCCCCTCACAGTTGCAGGGGGCCAGCTTCTCCCCCCTCCTCCTGCTGGGGCTCGCCACTCCTCCTCCCTGCACCACTGCGGCATGCCTGCTCCTCCCCACTGCTGTCGCATTGGCCCACGTTGGCCCAGCAGGCGGCAATGACAGAAGGGGAGAGGGGCGGACCGATGCCAGTGCCAGTGGCCTCGCTTCCCCACAGCGTCCCCAAAGAGCAAGGAGAGAGGGTGAGGTCAGCTCCAGTGGTCTCGCCCCACCCGCCTCCGCTCCATTGTCACCCTCCCCTCCCCCCACAACTCCGTCTCCTGCATCTCTGCCATCCTGGCAGTTCTCTACCACGCTGCAACCTCCTGCCTGAATGCTTATTGTCACTCTGGCTGTTTCAATCAGCCAGTCAGAGAGCGAATTAAGCATTATGGACAGACAGACAGATTAAGGCTTTTACAATATTAGAATTGTATATATAGGGGTGTATGTGTGTATGTCTATATGTATATGTATGTATATATGTGTGTGTGTGTGTGTATATATGTGTGTGTGTGTGTGTGTGTGTGTGTGTGTATATATATATATATGTATGTATGTGTGTATGTATATAGTGGCTTGTTATCAGGAAAAAAATTTTTTTTTTTTTTTATATATATACACACACACACACACACACACACAGTTGAACGTGATGTTTTCTAGATAGATTTACAATTTTAAAGCAGTTTAGAAGCCTACCAGTGCCTCAGTCACTATAATCCCAGTTGTCAGGGCTATGAGACCATGGACCCAGGTCTGCAGCCCCCTGCAGAAGGTAGTAGCTGCTGCAGCAGAGTGGAGTGTGGAGCCCAGCTCCCCCCCCACTGCCTGCTGCTTGCCTGCTGCGGGCCTGGGCTGAGGGGGCCAGCTCCTTGACACTGCTCATACACCCAGTGGGGCATGGGGACCCATGCCCCCCATACCTGTGCACAGGGCAGGGGCAGGTGCAGGTGCAAGCTGGGTCCTCAGGCTCCCTGCCCTGCTGCCATCTTCCAAGGCCTTCATAGCCCAGCAGATGTAACCTGGGAACAGCAGATATGCACAGGGAAGCTTGTTGCAGCTGCAAGCTCCACACTGCCCTGGCGAGGTATCCCCTTCGCACATGGCTGCAGCAGGGTCAGTGGTGCAGGGCTGTGCCCCTTGCTGCTGCCGCGTGGGAGGGGATGCCTTGCCAGGGCAGCATGGAGCTCACAGTGGCAAGGAGCTACCCCATGTGGCTCTGCTGTTCCCTACAGCACTGGGTCACACCCGCTGGGCTGCAGAGGCCCGGGGGAGGGCAGCAGGGCAGGGAGCCTGCAGTGGGCAGCCTGTACCACCCTTGTCCTGCACACAGATCTGGGGGGCACGGGCCTCACCTGCCCCCCCTGGGAGTACATGCAGTGGCAGGGAGCTGCCCCACCCCCCAGACAAGCTGCCTGTGGCCCCATCCCGCTCCTTACCAGAGCCCTGTGGCCACACATTGCGGCCCCAAGCCCTATGCACAGCCCCAGCCTTAGCCCTGCCCCACTCCCTCCTTCTCTTCCTCCCTCCTTCTCTATGGGGGCCTGATATCCCTCCCCCCCCGACTTACCTGTGGGAGCTGCTCTCCAGGCTGCCTGGCAGCCATGTGCATATACAAGCACATGGCACTCCCTACCTGACCACCCTTTTCCTGCTCCCTGCCATCCCCTTGCAGGCTGAAACTGCCAGCTTGCAGAGAGCTCTTTGCAAAACCTCAATAATCTGTAGGTTTCTTCATTAAAATGACAAATCTGCATTTTCCTTGGATAAAGGTGGAAATTCACATTTTTCTCCATTTTTCCAATGGGAAATGAAAAACCTGGATCCCTGCTCATGATTAAAGGGGACCTCTTCCAACTTGATATCTCAGAAGAAAGATGCTGCATCATTGCTTTTGCTTCTCTGAGAAGTAGATTGCTTCCATAGAGCTCCTCCCTAGTCAGAGGCATGAGTCACAATGCATAAAGGAAACTACATGTTTAAAATTTGGCACAATCAGGTTCTCAATTATGGGACAAATTTATATGCCAGGAACTCCTGCTAAAACGGATGACTATCACCCCAGCAAGCTTGTTTTCCAAGTTCCACTTGTGTTTAAAAGAGTATGAGTTGCATTTAAATCTCTTAAATATACTATTTAAATATGAAAAGAGTTAAAACTAGTGTAAAAGCACTGCACCTGAAAATGAAGACTACATAATTACAGGGTGTGAAGCCTGTCAGTAGTCAGAATGCAGAGGGATGTTCAACTGATAGCTCTTGGCTGAAGGTCTTTGGAATTTATTTTCCCATTGTGTTTACTTATTTTCAGCTAATTATGCTAGTCTGACAGGTGTGGGAAAATTCCTGTAATCTCAGATTTGTTTATTAAAAAAAATAGCAGAAAAGTTTGTTTGAGAGCAAGTAAGCATTTTGGAATGCTTCTGTGAGGTTTTCATGTGGGGTTATATAGTTGTCCAGGCAGGTGGTGGGACACAGCTGAGGTCCTGGGAATTGAAGAGGAAGAAGGACGTAACAAAGACCAAGCCTGCCTACATGTGTGCTCGTTGGCGTTCTAATCAGAACGCATTGGAGTAGACTCCATTAACTGAGTCTGCTCCGTGTTCTAATTAGAATGCTGCAGAATCACCGTAGCATCATATGTTAATTAGAGCAGTTTCCAGGCAGCTACTCTAATTACAATTTCACAATGTCATGTGTCTTAAGCCCCTGTGCATTTAAAAATGGCCACGGGGTGCTTTAACTAAACCTTATGTTTAAATGAAGTTTTGATAAAGCACCCTGTGGCCATTTTTAAATGTACAGGGGGTTAATACACATGGCACTGCAGCATTTTAATTAAAGCCGCTGCCCAGGAACTGCTCTAAAACGTGTCATCCCCCTTGGTCTCTCCAAGCACCTGCATAGGCAGCCATAAATTCCAAATGTCTTTAACACAGCTGTGCTTCCCTAGGCATTGACAAGATCACCCAAAGTTATCTCCTTCTCAAAGATGACACTAGCAAATACTGGCTGTTTTCTTTCTTCTGCAGCAGGTTAGCTGCTCTCCTGAACAGGCCTAATTGATCATCTCGCAGTATATTCTCTGGACTGTGCCTTCTTTCTGATTGTGGGATATTTTTTAGGGAGGGCAGTGAAAGATTATCGGCTAAGCTTTGACCAGTGTAGTGGAACTGATAATTTGCAATTAGTTCGTATTCCCTAATGAACCGTAAATAGGGATGTAAATATCATTAAAAATTATTAATTTAACCTCCTTTAATTATATTGGTTAAATGGTTAACTGATAATGCAGCAACTCGGACACAGCTGTTGCTGGGAGTTGCTCCCTGGGCTCTTTAATGGAGGAGGAAGTGGTAGCAAGCCCCACCAGAAGACACAGACTGTGAATGAGCAGTGAGTTGCTTAATTAACATGTCATTAAGCCACCTGCTATTTTCCTCTTTAACTTTATAAGTTAATACTAGTTCTCCCTTTCCCCTTCTCCTCCTCCCTCCTTCCTGCCTGCCCTGCTGCCTTCTGCACTGCTTTCCTTCCCCCCTTCCCTGCCAGACTGCACCTTGCCCTGAGCTATGATATATAAATGATAACTGGTAAGCTAACCAGTTATTGTTGGGCTTACTGGTTAAGCAGTTAATCATTTAACCTTTCACATCCCTAACCATAAGCTGTTGGTGATTATTAAATGATCATGAGTCCTTGATGGAGTTACATATCTCTTTAATTTTCATTTTGTGATGCATCTCAACTTCAGTAATGTGACTAGAAATTATTAAGCTCACAACAGCACTTCTGCTGGAATCCCCTCCTCCCACCTCAAACATACCTACATGCCCAAACACACTTCCCCACATTCTGTTAAAAATCTCTGCAAGGCTCATAAAAGTGCAGGTGCACATCTTGAACTATTGCTTTGAGTGCACACCCTGGTACTGAAAGATCTCTCATACCTCCACAGATTTTTGTCCCCATTTGCTAGTTAAGCAGTACTGTAGACTTGGTGAAGCAAACAATTTACAATCTGAGATTGAAACCAGGGAAAGCAACTAACGTGTAATTTTAAACTAATATATTCTGTCTGCCAAAACAGAAACAGGTCTTAGTGGACTTTCTTCTAAGAAGGTACAATTCTGCAACAGAGAGAATAATATAAATACAAGGAATTAGGCCATATGCTTCATATTGTGAAGCTGTCTTTCATTACAGAGTGGAAGGGACCAGTTGGGTGTAACTCCAGTTTTTAAATGCGAATGGGCAATGCATAGAGCTCTCCCACTTGTAGGTTGTATGATAACATCTGTAACATCATCATGTACCTGCAGTTTGAAACAAACTGCTCAGGTAAGTGCCATGGAGACTAATTGCTCATCAGTGTAACCACTCTTCTTGTGGGTGGTCAGAGGCAGAGAGGCTCCTAGGCACTTTGTCAGTGGTTGAGAAAGTGTGGTGGCCTTAGCCACTTCTGTTAATGTAATCATTAAAAGGGTAACCCTGGTGGCTGCTTCCTAGTGGGCATGGAGCACCAATTGCTTGTGCTGTTGTTAAAGAAGCATGGTTATTGCTGAGCAGCCAAAGAGAGGCAGCCAGGAAATGAGGAACAGACTTCTCCAGCCCTTGCAGCAGGAGGCTTTAGGGTGGCACCCTGAATACCCCAGCCAAGGTCTCTTACCCACATCATCTCAGCATAGAGTTCTGGGTGGAGAAGCTCAGCTGATGCACCAGATCTGTGTCCGAGCTCCTGATAGCAGAAACACTAGTGTGGGTGTATTGAACACTGGCCTCAAATTGTTGAATCCCAGTGTAGACCAAGCTTTAAGGAAAGTCTTGAAGACTTTCACAAAGATTTAGGATATGAAGTGCCCAAATCTTTTTTTGAAAATGTGTTATGCTTTATTCATATAGTTGCTTTTCAGCCTTTTCCTCTAAAAAAAAAAGGACAGCATTTAGCCATGTCGGTGGTGTATTGTTAATCTATTGAACACAAAATAGGTCTTGCTCAAATACTGCCTTTGCTCTTGTTTCAAGCCTTATGCACAAAGCTGTTCCCCAAACCGTTGATAATGCCTACAATTCTAATGCAGGAAGTACCACACTCACTTGTTACAGTTTGATGGACAAGGAGGCTGGCGCTTTGAACTTTTGGACACTGCTATCCGTTTATCCCTCAGTGAGGAAAAACAAAGACTAGAATCACAGCTTGCAGGAATTCCGAAAATGCAACAGAGACTGAATGAACTTTGCAAAATCTTGGGAGAAGATTCGGTGCTAAAAACAATGGAGAAAGAAGAATAAGTACCTTAATTTATGTTCTATGTTTTTTAAATATTTCTTTTTTAGTTAAAAGCTTTATGAATTCAGTCCCTCTTGTTTGCATGCATTGTGATAGACTTGGAGCATAATGAAACCCAGTCAGCAAAAAAATAATGCTTTATAAGATTTTCACCTTTTAGCATTGAGGAAGAAGCTGGTTTGAACTCTGACAAGCAAACAAACAAATGCATGGTGTATAAGATTTATCATCACAGCTCGTGGTAATTCCACATTAAAGCTCAGTTCCCTCCAGAAAGTTACCAGGACAGTTAGATTTTCTAGGTAAATTCTTGTTTGGGATCTGATCTGCAGAATGTGCTGTCATATTGATTGCCATGTGCATATGATATGCCTGCTGTACAAAGCAAACCTGGCATGTGATTCAGGCATGGAGCAGCACAAGGGCAGGGTTAGGGTGAGTATGCAGGTGCATGCAAAACTCTAATTTGGATACAAGAAACAATCTTTCAGTCCATGTAAAACAAATCGTTTTCACAGCTATACTGTGCACATTTCATTAGCTGAATTTCCATGGGAAATAAAAACATGACAGACAGACTAGAAGGTAACTGTTTCTGTGAACCACTAAATGACTCTTTAGCAAGGTCTGTGATGCATATATACAGTACACTACAGCACACACTTTCAGAGACTTTTCTCCTCACGTGTACATTGATCCCTGTTAACCTGCCCAGGGATTATTTATAGCCATCAGACAGGATGTTCTGGAGGATGGGGCCTGGATCCAGTCAGAGACTTGGATTTTGTTCCTGGCTCTGTCACTGACTTGCTACCAGACCATAAGTGAGGCACTGTCTCAGTTTCTCCTTGGTAAAAAGAGGATAATGACCCCTGCCAGGCTGGGTGAGCCTTGGTGAGCTGTGGATGAAAAAGGCAATGCAAGAATTAAATTTATTTAATTAATTTGAGGAGGTTCTGTCCTGATGTTGGAATATTCAACACTTAGAGATTCTGTAAAATATTTTAAAAAGCTCTTGATAACCACTGATTAATCCTCATGGCACCTTGTTAAGGTGGGTCAACATTGTTATCTCCATCTACCCATGGAAAAACATACTGGATTGTAGCCACATTTTCACAGGTGCTCACTAATTGTGTCTGCCTCTGTCTTTTACTTTGCTAGGAGGTGGGAGTCCCCAGGACCTCTGACAGTCAGTCACAAAGTGCCTCAAATTGAGAACACTTCTGAAAATGTTGGCTTCAGTGCCTTGTCCAAAGCCAGAGACACAGAGTAACTTGGAAGTAGAGGTAAGAATAGATCTGAAGGACTCCTCACTTCCAGTCTCTCTTAGACACAGTGCCTCTGACCTGTCAGACAGAAGATTTGCCATGTCCCATTACTTTCCTGGGCAGCAATATATGGATAGATAAGACCTGGACAGAAAGACTGTACCATAGAAATGTTCAGCTATCCATTCCATCCCTCCAGCTTAAGAGGTCATTTATACTGGACAGCATGAGGAGATAAAACAGGAAGGCAAGGCTTTTAGAAACACAGAGAGGACTTTCTGGACCAGCTAGTCCCCTGTGTATGCCAGCGGACTAGAAGTGTCCACAAGAACATCTGTTCTGGCCCCTCTCATGTCACAGACACAAAATAGCTGGCATCAAAACCTTACAGCATGTCACAAATAAAGAGCTGGGGAGACATGAGTGCTACCAATCCTGTGGTAAATGCAACAGTACAGAATATGCTAATTTAATATATACCTAAATTAAAAGTACTATGCCATGTGCTACAGAGGAAAGGAAAAAACCCCAGTGGTTCTTGTCAATCTGATCTGAGGAAAGAATGCTTTCCTCACCCAAAATCTGACAGTTTGAGCAAGACTTGGCCCCAGGTACCTGAAAGGCTTCTCGGTACCGTTAGCACTACCACATGTGCCCCAGCTAAACTCCCACTTCCACTTGTGGCCATAGGAAGATGAAAAGGACCCCATCATTCCCTCAAATAATGCATTCCTGGGGGAAAAAACATCTTCCTGGATCCCTGGGGTGGCCAGCAGAAAGTGAGAGGCATGTAAATTTTTAATTTCCTTTGAATTAATAAGCAAGGCTACGCAAATTAAAAATGGACCTGAAGTGCTTGGATGGTCCTTTTTTCCTTAAGAAAGAGATTGTTAACTTTTTGGGAATGCTTCCTGACTTTTTAGTATAAAACGGCTCAGTTGTGTTAAGGGAAAGAAAAGGTATTGGGCTGTTTACTGAGCTGTACTGTCTGCAGAGTCCTCAGGATGCATTTTAGATTAAAAGAGCATGGACAGCAACCTCACAGATGTCATTACTATTTAGAGAGACTTCAAAATGGCACCTATGTAACAAAGGTGGTATCCTGGCCATTATCTTGCTTGGGGGTTTCTTCAGAAAGAGGTCGACAATGCTTGCAGAAGCTCCACAAAGGACTCCAGAGCCATCCCAGCTGCACCCCTTCTCTCGGTAGCTCTTTGACCTTTTGGTTGTTCCAGAGATGCTATTGTTTGGGGCCACCTCAGTCTACCTCCCAGTTGGATGATTCTCGGTCAGGATAGGAGATCCTTTTAAGGTGCTGCAGGGTGCTGTGAAATATTAGCGCTGTTAGGTGTGCAAACACCTACACATGATTCACAAGATAATCCCAGAGGCTAGGTACAGACATTGAACAAGCCCAAAGCAGAATCTAAGTTACGTTTTTTTTTGTAAGCGGTGTAGTTTAGATCAGTAGCGAACAGAAAATGCATTTGCCCAGTGGGGAGGGGAAAAGCTTAGACCAGGTTCTGCCTTTTTCAAACCACTCTGTGTGCGCTGAATTTCTGTTTTGTTACATGTATAGACTGGTTTTGTGTGCTGAACTTGTGTTATGTTATGGATATAGACCAGATTCCAATCACTTATACTGATAAAAGTATAATGTCTGTACCTGGCCAGAGATTTCAAATAGGAATCCATAGTGTTAGAAACACTCTGATCTGTTGTGGTCTTTTTGAGTTCTTTGCAATAGAATTGCTCTGTTATTTTTCCATAGTCAGGAAATAAGTGGAAGCTAAGAGCTGGCATTTTCTTAGGGATTTCTTGAGTTTAACAAGGTGCCTTGAGTCTAAAAAAGGTTGAGAACCACATATTGTAGCAGCTACTCAATTCCACAGTAATTTATCTTCACAATGCCTCTGTGCAGTAGAGAAGAACCTTTCATCAGCAAAGTGATTTCCCCAGGGTCCCAAAGACACCTGTGGCAAGCAGGGAATTGAATCTAGAACTGTCAAGTCCCAGGTTAGTGCCCTAGCCACTAGATCAACCTCCCTCTTCCTTTGCTGAGCTTTGTGCTGCCAGAGCTGTCTGCTAGGGAGTGCACAAAATCCTGGAATGAGCCCATCTTTTATAATGTAGTCCTAAAACCCTTTAGTTTCTGCTTCTGAAGGAAACTACACTTGATCTGAGCCTTCAAGAGGCTGAGAAGCTTGTGCTTTTGCATCAGCAGTTTGCTGGTCTTATTGTCTTCAGACAGTCCACTGGGATGTCTCAGTGCAAGTGAATAGAATGCCCCAGAGAACATCTGGAAAGGATTGGGAAATAAAGACCTTAACAAAATTAGATAGTGTCACATACAGCAGAAGCTTCAGGGCACAGCTTTGTCTGGTAAAAAGTGCATATATTTTAATTTGCAAGCAGGTTGTTTTCCCTGAAGGCCATCTTCCCCTTTTCTCATCTTCAAAGAAAAATGTAGAAATGATGCAGAAAAAAGTAGGTCATAAATCTCTGCTAGGCCAAGCACCAGCTGAGAAAATTAAGCATTCAGAGCATGGTTTCATGCTTTATCACTGCAGTTTGTGCTGGTGAGACATATTTGGTTCCTGAGCACTTGGTGTGTGACAAGGAAAAAGTGGAGGGACAGAGCAGTCATCCAGCCACTCTATTTCAGGATACCCCTAGTGCAGGTAGATCCCCAGTTGGCCCTGAATTACTAGAATTAGTCTTGTGCTTACTCCTTCCATAGTCATAGAAGCAGGAACTGGTGCTGTTTTCCAGCAATTCCCTGCTTTTGGAAAGGCACTTCCCTCCTAAAGTTTCTCTGATTTGCACTGAGAGCAAAGTTGATACCTTCTTACCACTAGCGATTGAATCTGAGACACTGAACAATCAACATGGGGCCTAATACCCAAATTCCCATTGACAGATCCTAATGAGAATGTTCTGCTTTGAAAAAAATGTTATTATGTGCTTGGAGCAATTTGAATCCTTGTCACATTTCTATCTGTCAAATGACAACCCATTCACATATGGGAAAAATGTCTTCTGAAAAAGAAATATCTTAAAGAATTAACATCCTTTCTTGTTTTAAAAGGTTCTGTGTAAAGTATATACTAATTTTATGCTGGAAGGAAAAATCAGCCTATTTTTACAATGAAAAGTGAATGAAATGGGAAGTGGTTTGATAATGTTGCCAAAAGCCTCTAAGTTTGATGTACTGGAGCCAATAATGTCATAAAGCATCAGGCATAAAATATTCTAATGCATTAGTCTACTATTTAAAGGCCTGTTTTATGACAAGAATGACAGTGCACCGATATGTACAGCCTTCACTCTCCTGGACCTTTGTGGGTTACATTTCCCCCTGAAAATGTTTCAGAAAGGTTTACTGTGCCAGTGATTCATCGTGTTAAAGCTGATTTTGTGGTTTGAAAAGCTACTGCCCTGGAGATTGTCCCTGTAAGTTTTATGAACAGCTCCAGATACTAACTCTAAAGGCTAGAGGGCTTGATCCTGTTCCCTGTGGTTTCAATGAAGGTTTTTCCATGGCCTAAATGGAAGCACAAATAAGATCAGCTGTAGCTTTTAAGATACAGCCTTGGTAAAATTGAGCAGAGGTGCAGAGCATTAAGAGTTCTGGAAAGACCCTGTTACAGAGCCACTTAGGCTAAGGACAGACAGTCAAAAAGCCTGAGGCTGAATCAATTCAGTCTTTGCAGGTTAGCCTAAGATGCATAGATTGAACCAATAAGCAAGTGAACAGATATTCACTTTTGATTCTGGAAATGCAGCCTTATTCCTGTGGTGGCCCAGGCCAGAAGCTAGAGGGCACTAGAGCACATATCCCTGCTAGGCTGGAGCAGACACCTTGAACCAAGACTAGCCCACCCAGCCTGCAAAGCATCCTGGGATACTGGGGGAATGTGAGTTAACTTGAATCTGTAGGGAACCTGGGACAGAAGTTCAATAAACCAATTTAACCTAAATCAGTTAAGTCTGATCTTGCATCCATCCAGATTTATCTTAAACTGGTTTCAGCCATTTGGAAAGCAGTTTATATGCACTGAAATTCTGTTGTGTTACAGATTTTGACCAGTTTCCAATCACTTTTACTGTGTAATTTCTGTCCCTTGCCTTGGGATCAAGTGTCTGCTGTACTATTTAATCTCAGGGTCAGGTCAGCTGGCCAGTGCAGGGGGAAAGGATCTTTCTTAGGTTTGTGCACTTTCTCTTTAGTGTTCCTCTACGGGCAGTGCCCTGCCAGGTTCTTTTCGTTCCTGGTGTACGAGACCCCCGCACTCAGGATGTGTAGAAATTCCTTGTGCCTATTTCCATCCTCCCTCTCCCCTCATTGCACTCTGTTTATAATGTTTCAAGGAATTAAATATACCGGAATTATTTTGCACCTGGGGGCAGATTCTGCCAGGGACCGAGCACTTCCTTGTGAACAACCTCAAACCCTGTTGATGTCAGTAGGGATTTGAGACACACAGCACTTCATGTAATCTTACCCCTAGATGCGGCACAGCTTCAGAGCAAAATTAATAGTCTCTTCCAAGGAGAGGAAGCTTCTTATAAATAGATTTAATGTGCAGAATGTTTACCCAGACTAATTTATTGAATGTTGGGACTCTCGCACACAATGAAACATTTTCTGCTCTCTGGATTTTAATACTTTTAACAAATGTTTGTTTTAATTGATCTGTTTGGGGACTAATCTCATTCATTTTTTAGGTTTGGAATCTACTGCCCTAACTCGGATCAAACTCCTGCTGAAGTCAGTGGGAGTTGTCTGAGTGAGGCACTCCATGGGTTGTGTTAGGGGAATTTATTATAATAAATTTCCACCTGAAGCAAGTAAATACATTTACATTCTGTAAAGTTCATTCAATAAATATGAATGACCATAGCGCATATGCAAGCCAGTTTATGAACCTGTGGCCAGAGGTTCTGACAATACAGAATATAGGATGAAATTACTGCACTTGGCTATTCATAAAATGTAAGATGACTGAACTGCTGAATCAAATGTCTTTGTTCTGTTTACATTTGGTTTAATGCCCTTTAAGAGCAGACATTTGATAAAGCAATAAGTTATACTGCACAGTTGTAACTTATTTCAGTCCCAAATAAAGTATGTTGCATTTACTTTACGAGTTGACAGCGTTGTTTATGAATCATGCAACAAACCGCCTGAGGCCTGTGTGTGTGTGTGCCTGATACACTAACAGAGCCGCTGTCAGGCTGGGCCCTGCATTCCTGTGGAAAAGGGAAAATGTGCATTTCCTTTCCAGCACAGTGTGGCAGAGCAGGCTAACACTACGGGCCATGGTTTGGTTTCTCACGTCTTGTGCCAGCCCACATCAGACCGGGATTGACCTGTGACAGGAATGAAGTCCGTGTGTGCAGGGAGAATTCACTGAGGTCTGAGCAGTAGACTCTCATGTGAGCAGTGCAGACTGACTCACCAGGCACTACTTAGATCAGCCCCAAAGCTTGTTAACAGGAACCGTTCACTGTATGGCACCAGCGTTAATTAGTAGTATTGGGAGTTGGCCTTCACAAGGGCTTCATGCAGACTACTGGCTCGACATATCTGCTGTCATGGAAACCCTGAGCCCATTCACCAAATGGTTATACATTCCCAGAAGAGACAAGACGTGCAAGCTAAGCCTGCACAGGGTTAATTCATTTATTGCTTTTCAGAGCAGGTGTGGAAAGCAAACTGCATCTTGCACAGGCTTGCTTTCCACTTCTCACACTGCCTCTGGCCCCAGCTCTCCTCAGCTGGTGTCTCATGGAAAGGGCAGTGCTGGGGGAGGAGAGGAGGTGCGGCTTGTTGGAAATGACTTGTCTTTGCAAATGGGTGAACAATAGTAGCTGGTTTCAAAGAAATGCTCTTGCTCCAGAATGATTCTTGGTCACATGGGCATGATTCCTTGGAGCAATCAATGCCACTCAATGCTGTAATCAGGCCCTTTGCTCACAGGTGCCACATTCACACACTCCTCTGTCTTAACACACATTAGTTCCCCCTCCTTCTGGACTACTTTAGTACCTTTGAGAGGCTTTGGCAGGAGCTAGATGGAGCCAGTCATATTTTGCTGAGGCTCATGCTAGGCAATGCTGAGTAGTCACACACTGGACAAATTGCACCTCTCTCAGCTTCCTTGGCTCTGAGTGATTACTGAAAAACAGGTCTGTTGCTCAGCCTAGCACCTGCCACATGCAGAAGGAGGAGGATGTTTAAGCTACAGTGATCCAAGGCCACTTTGTACCTGAATGAGAGCCTCCAAAGGAATGTTTAATATGCTTTCACTTCTGTTCATTGAATTCACCTCTTTTGCTAATTCACCTTAACTTCACGTCCTGTGTAAACAAGCCCCAAATATTTTCCCCTCATAGTCAGATGCTCCCATGAACCCATAGATGTTGACAGTGGGGGTGAGGTGCACAAATCCGCACAGCTGCCACTGCCCCACCCCTGCTGCTTCTGGGCCTGGTTCCAGCTGGACTGTGGCCCCGTACCCCACTATTTGCACAAAAATCTGAAACCGTTCACTGTATGGCACACATGCCCCTCACACGACATCTTTGCATGAGCCTACATATGCTCACTGGGCATGTCTACACATGCGCTTCAATGCGCTGCAATGCATTAGCCTATTTTAATGAGCACTAAC